GGGGGCTGGGGGGGAGGAGGGATGAGAAGGGATGAGAGGATAAGGGAAGATGAATGAACGAATAGTAAGGGGAGGAGGAGGAGGAGGAGGAGGAGGAGAGAGGAGGAGGAGGAGGAGGAGGAGAGGGAGGAGGGGGAGGAGGAGGAGGAGGAGGAGGAGGAGGAGGAGAAGGAGGAGGAGGACGCATCAACGATGGTGCAATTTTCCCTCTTCATAGGTCCCTACATGGATTATGTTCATTGCGGGAAGTGCCCCGTTGGAAGACACTCGTCTGGTAATCCCAAATCGTGCCAAAACACCATTCCTGGGACTTCAACATCGCGAATCAACGTGACTGTTGTGTCCTGACAGTACTAATTCGTGACAGGAAGCGCCCTTCCTGGGACTTCAACACCGCGATTCAACCTGATCAGGACAGTCCTACGTCGAGCCAGAACCCCAGTCCTGGGACTTCAACTGCACGAACCCTCGAAACTGTTGCAAACGTTCGAAACGAATCCGCGCGGCGCCAAAGCAAGCGAGAGCCACATGTTGAAAAGGAGCCGCCCTCCACCCTTGAAGCTGCTGCACACTTCTAGAACGGAGATGCGCGACGCTTACGCGATAACCGCATTTTGAAAACGTGCCGCTCTCCATATGAGAAGATGTTCTAAACTTTAAAACGAATGTGCGCGGCGCTCAGGCGAGAGCCGCATTTGAAAACGTGCCGCCCTCCATTCGTGAAGTGTTGCAACAGTCATATTCAGGGTGATATCTGGTGAGGAAATCGCATGCGAAACGCCTGGCCTGCTGGGGGGGGGCGACACGGATGAGTTATTTATAAAAGAAAAGGCTGGAGGAGGAAAAGGGGAAAAGAACTCTCGGACTCGTCCTGGGACAAGCTTCCGCAATGGATCTTTCTCGGCCCCAGAGCCCGAAGACGGACCGGGTTGACCAAACCCAGGACGGCCGCATCATTTTTTGTGGACGCCAGATGTGTGTGTGTGTGTGTGCGTGTGCGTGTGCGTGTGTATGTGTGTTTTGTTGCCGCAGATCGGGACAAAGAAGGCTGCTCGGGTCGGTTCCGCGTCCATGGGAGCCTCTCGATGCGGCGCAGCCGCTGGAAAGCACCCCCTGGGGGGCCGAAACCCAATCCACGGCTTTCTGGGGCATCTCGGGATCCCCCGAGGCTGTCGGGGGGGCTTCGGGTGCCGCGCTGGGTGGGGTTGTCTCGGGGCCACCTGGGCCACGCACGTGGGGGCACGTGTGGTGGATTCCCCAAAAAGCTGTACAACAAAAACCCGCTCGAGAGGAGGAAGAGGAGGGGGAGGAGGAGTGAAAGAGAAGAGATGAGAAGAGAAGAGACGAGAAGAGAGGATAGAGAAGCAGGAGGAAGGAGGACCAGTGCAAACCCAAGGGTCACCAACGATGTTGGAATAGCGCCTCCCCCCAAGCTCCCTCTTCATAAGCCACTACAACGGTTTCACTTCCGCAGGGGGACCTGCCTCGTTGGAAGATAACCCTTGGAAAACCCTGAAGAATGCAAAAACAGGGTTCTCGGGACTCCAACGCCACGGATAAACCTGACTGCTGCGTCTTGACGATCCTGCATCGTGTCCGAACGCCACTTCTGGGACTTCAACACTGCGAATCATCGTAACTGTTGCGCCCTCATAATCGTGAATCCTTCCAGAACGCCATTTCTGGTACGTCGATCATGGGAACACGTGAAGCTCTTGAATTCGTTCGACAAGAATGTGCGCGGCGCTAAGGCGAGAGCCACATGTTGAAAAGGAACCGCCCTCGATCCATGAAGCTCTTGCGAATGGTTAAAACGAATGTGCGCGGCGCTAAGGCGAGAGCCACAATTTGAAAAGGTAACGCCCTCGATCCGTGAAACTCTTGCAAATATTGAAAACGAATGTGCGCGGCGCTAAGAAGAACCACATTTTGAAAACGACCCGCCCTCAATCCGTGAATAAGCTCTTGCAAATATTGAAAACGAATGTGCACGGCGCTGGGGCGAGAGCCATATTTTGAAAACCACCCGCCCTCAATCCGCGAAGCTCTCGCAAATGTTGAAAACGAATGTGCGCGGCGCTAAGGCGAGAGCCACATTTTCAAAGCCACCCGCCCTCCATCTATGAAACTGTTGCCACTATTTGTCTCAGGCGAAGCGCGTGGCCCGCCCTAAAAACTGGCCGCGGCGTGCGACAGGGAGAAGTTGTTTATAAGGAAAAGGAATGGAGGAGGAGGAGAAGAGGAGGAGGAGGAGGAGGAGAAAAGGAGGAGGAGGAGGACAAGGAGGAGGAGGATGAATAGGCTGCCTTCCGCCGAGATCCGCCGAGACAGAGATACCAACTCCTTTGAGCCCCAACGGCGCGGCCACTCCTTGAATGCCTCACTTGGGCCCCTCTTTACGGGGGCGCCCAGGGGCCACCTGGGGCTCTCCTGGGCGGCTGTCCCTGAACACGGGCGGCACCATCCAGTGAAGTGATGGTCCCCAGCCTCCATGGACTTCGATTCGCTTGCGCTCCTTCTCCTCCTCGTGAGGAGGAGGAGGAGGAGGAGGAGGAAGAGGAGGAGAAGGAGCAAAAGGAGCAAAAGGAGGAGGAGAAGGCCAGTTCATCGTAGCAAGCTCCATGAGCCTCTTGGAGACCCCCGCATGTGGGTCACGTGGTCCGTCTGCCAGATGCGCACGTTCCAGTTTGAGGCGCGAGGCAGGCTCGTTACGCCTGTCAAGCATCACGGTGCGTGCTGCACGGCATGGGCCGAAGTGGGCAGAGCTCCCGATCCTGGTGAGTTGCGTGGGAGCGTGGAAGAACTTGCGAGGGAGCAAAGGGACCACAGGCGGGGAAGGGGGCATGAGCATCATGTGGATCAAGGCTGCCTTCAGGGAGGTCGGACCTCCTCAGGCTGCCAAACTGGCACCGGGAAGAAGTGTGGCTCTTGATGCTCCTGATCTGGCCGTTCGGGCTATTGATCGTGTAGCATCGGCCCCGTCTCAACCTCGACGGTGTTAGACCCCTTTTTCCTGGTCATCAGTGAGGGTGTGCGACAGGAGGAAGACGAGCATCCAGTCTTTGAAGTTTTGGAGCTTTCGAGATCATCAATGTGGCGTCATCCATATGAGCTTTCAGGAGATGTTGGCAGGATAACTGCCCAGATAGCAAGACAAACGCACCAGCGTAGGATCTGCTGGTGGGTGCTCCTTTTCGCCCAGGCCAGCTACAGGCTCGGATGCGAGGAAGAAAGAACTTCGTGATGTGACCTGCCCCTGGGGCCAGCCTTCTTGTCATCTCAAGAGAGGGAAGCCATTTATGTCGAGACTGATTTGCCCAGAGCGGTCATGATACTTTCTGTTCAGGCGCGCTGTCTGGACACTCCTTGGGTCACTTTCTCAGAGCAGCAGCTCGGACAAGGACTGCCGTTTCTATAAGCTTCCCTGTTTTGTCGTGGTGTCGCTCAGGAGACCTACTCTCAGACTGCCCAGATCGAGGCATGTGCAGCTGCAGGTTTGCATGCGTGGCAGACGGTGGGAGATGTCAGCACCTCTTGTCCAAGTCACACGACCAGGCTTGCAACCACAGGGCGTGGAGGCACAGGGGAGGTCAATTACGTGTTACACGTGCATGAGGGCAGGAGGGGCTGCTTGAGTGTCTGCATGTCCGTTCAGTTCTATGGACAGATCCTTGGCACGTCCATTGACGAGTGGCTCCAATGGGGTGCGTTAAGCAGACGGATGGGGGCGAGATAGGATTTGCTGCTGGCAGTGTGTCTTGGAGGCCCCTTGACCAATACCTGCTTTAGGGCTCTGCGCCACTTTCCTCGGCGGTGTGAATCTACTTGGTTGGGACTCCTAATGTCACAACGGCACAACGGCTTGCAACATTCGTCGTGCTCTTCTATTGTCCTTAACCCGTCAATCCTAGAAGAGACTGCGAACTCATCGGCCTTCCCTACCATCATTTCTGTCACTGTGGGAAGTGCCCCGTTGCAGGACAACCGTCCGAGAACCCCCCATCGTGCCAAAACGCACCGACGTTATTGTTGCGTCCTGGCGACGCTGAATCGTGACTTTAGACCGTTCCTGGGATGTCAACGCCGCGAATCAACATGACGGCTGCGCCCTGGCAGTCCTAAAGCGCGACGGAACACCATCCCTGAGACATCACCCATGAGAATCGATTGGGCGGTTGGATTTTTGAGACAAATTTTCGCAGCGCTCAGGCGACAGCCGCATTTTGAAAACGATCCGCCCTCCACCCGCGAAGCCAATGCGATCTTTGAAGGCATATGTGCGCGGTGCTGATGCGAGAGCCACACTCTGAAAACGATCCGCCCCCGGTTCGTGAAAGTGTTGCAACATTTTGAGGCGAAGGTGCGCGGCGGTAAGGCGAGAACCACATTTCTAAAACGGCCCGCCATCCATTCGTGAAGCTCTCGCAAACTTGAAAACTAATGTGCTCGGGGCTAGGGCGAGAACAACATGTTGAAGAACGGCCCGCCCTCCATCCGTGGAGCTCTTGCGAACTTTTAAAACAAATTCGCGCGGCGCTAGGGCGAAAACCACATTTGGAAAACGGCCTCCCAATACGTGACGATCTTGTCGACTTGTCAGACGAATGTGCGCGGCGCTAAAGCGAGAATCACATGTTTAAAACGGCGTGCCCTCCACTTGTGAAGCTGTTGCAAGATCATGAATGGTGAAGATGTCTCAAGCGAAGCGCCCGCCCTGCCCCACCGACACGTCTCGGGGTGCAACAGGGAGAAGGAGAAGTTATGTGTAAGCAAAAAGGATGGAGGAGGAGGGAGGGAGGAAGGAAAGGATGAGGATGGAAGATGGAGAAGATAACGATGATGAGGAGGAGGAGGAGGAGGAGGAGGAGGAGGAGGAGGAAGAGGAGGAGGGGAGGGAGGAGGTAGAAGAGGACGGGAGGAAGGGGGGAGCAGGAGGAGGAGGAGGGCGAGGAGGAGGAGGGAGCGAGAGCAGGGAGCAAGAGGAGGAGTGCGACGATGGCCGGGCGCACGCGCGCACGGCCTCGGACTGGCCGAGGGCATCCGCCGCGCGGGCCGCCTCGGGCGGCTCGGAGCTGCGCGCCCGCTTCCACGCCGCTGCCACCGGGGGGGGCCGCCGTCGTCGTCGCCGTCAGGGGCGAGAGCCTCCTCGTCGTCGCCGTCGCCGTCGTCGTCGTCGTCGTCGTAATCGTCGCCGGCGGCGGCGAGGGAGCAGGAGGAGCCTCCTCCTGCTGCCTCGCCCTGCCCTTCCTGCCCTTCCCTTCTCCTCCTTCCTGCCCTTCCTGCTCTTCCTGCCCTTCCTGCCAGTCCCGCCCTCTCCGCCCTCTCCTCCTCTTCCTGCCCTTCCCTCCTCCGAGGAGGGAAGGGCAGGAAGAAGAGTAGAGGAACAACGGGCACTGTAAACACAAACTTGTAGAGCTCCGCGAAGATTTCTTGGATCGGCGCTAGGCCCCTCTGAAGGCGCCTTCGGCGCCGCCCCTGGTGCGCTCCGCACGCCAGAGGAGACAGCCCTCAGCGCTGATCCATGAAATTCGCGCAGAGCTCCAAGAGGGGAGGCGAAAGAGGAGAGAAGGGCAGGAAGAGTATGAGAGGAAGACGGACAAGAACGAGAAGGTTTTGCATCCTCTAGGAGGAGGAGGAGGAGGAAGAGGAGGAGGAGGAGGAAGAGGAGGAGGAGAAGAAAGGAGGAGGAGGAGGAGGAGGAGGAATGATAATAACAATAGAAATCCGCCGACCCTGTCGGCGTGTGGAAGAGGCTGTTTCGTTTGACTCGTCGTCGTCGTCGTCGTGGTTGTTGTCGTCATCGTCGTCGCCTTCGCCGCCTCCCTCCCCTTTCCCTAGGCTCGTCGCCGGTCCCCCCACTTTCACCGAGCCCTCCTCCTCGAGCGCGCCAGCCACAGCGAAATTGAGCAACGTTGTAGTTGAGTCGAAGGGAGGCCCCTTCCCTTTGATCCCTTCTCCGCCGGGGGGGGAAGATCCCGTTGGGGGGTCCCAAAGGGGGGTCCCGTGGGGGGGCCCGGGGGGGGAGTTCCGGGAACGGTCGCCACCCAGATACCACTCCCCCCCGGGGGGGGTCGCCACCCAGATGCGACTCCCTCCCGGGCGCTTCGGGGGCCCAAAACAGCGTCGTCGTCGTCGTCGCCAGACAGGGTCGGCGGCACCGGCCGTAAGGCCTTCGCAATAGTAATAATCAAAAACAGACTGCGAACATAATAAAATAATCCAAGTATTGCTACGAAACACAAGAACAATATCAGTACCAAGAAGAATAACAATACTGACAGTACTGATAACCTTACAGGCAGTAAGACCACTAATGATACACATACTAAGTATTAATAATAACACTACTAGTAGTAATGATAATGGGAATGGTAGTAGTAGTAGTAGTAGTAGTAGTAGTAGGAGCAGCAGCAGTAGTAGCAGCAGTAGTAGTAGTAGTAGTAGTAGTAGTAGCAGTAGTAATAGTAGTAGTAGTAGTAGTAGTAGTAGTAGTAGTAGTAGTAGTAGTAGTAGTAGTAGTAGTAGTAGTAGTAGTAGTAGTAGTAGTAGTAGTAGTAGTAGTAGTAGTAGTAGTAGTAGTAGTAGTAGTAGTAGTAGTAGTAGTAGTAGTAGTAGTAGTAGTAGTAGTAGTAGTAGTAGTAGTAGTAGTAGTAGTAGTAGTAGTAGTAGTAGTAGTAGTAGTAGTAGTAGAAGTAGTAGTAGTAGTAGTAGTAGTAGCGTAGTAGTAGTAGTAGTAGTAGTAGTAGTAGTAGTAGTAGTAGTAGTAGTAGTAGTAGTAGTAGTAGTAGTAGTAGTAGTAGTAGTAGCAGTAGTAGTAGTAGTAGTAGTAGTAGTAGTAGTAGTAGTAGTAGTAGTAGTAGTAGTAGTAGTAGTAGTAGTAGTAGTAGTAGTAGTAGTAGTAGTAGTAGTAGTAGTAGTAGTAGTAGTAGTAGTAGTAGTAGTAGTAGTAGTAGTAGTAGTAGTAGTAGTAGTAGTAGTAGTAGTAGTAGTAGTAGTAGTAGTAGTAGTAGTAGTTGTAGTAGTAGTAGTAGTAGTAGTAGTAGTAGTAGTAGTAGTAGTAGTAGTAGTAGTGGTAGTAGTAGTAGTAGTAGTAATAGTAGTGAAAATCATACTACTAAGGAAGAGGGAGGTGTTGTAAAAGAGTTCAGCGCGATTTACACGGGCTCCAAAGAAACCAAGGTTTTTTGGAGGGGGCCCAGAGGCTCACCTACAAAATTAATATGTCAGCATCCCTTCTGGAAAATCGCCCCAAATCACACTTAGACGGTCTTTCCAATGTGTGCAATGCGTTGAAGGTTTGGGTGATTCTTGGGGGGGAAGACAGAATTGTTCTGCTCACGCGTCTGGAGGGGCGGGTGCTCTGGATGGTCCGAGGAGGTCCTGAGGAGGAGGGGGAGGGGACGGGGCCTCCTCCTCCTCCTCCTCCTCCTCCTCCTCCTCCTGCGCTCGTACCGATCGGAAGGTCATGATCATCCACGTCTGCTGCTACCACTGCAAGTGCTACAGCTGCTGCTACTGCTGGACCTCGAACTGCTCTCACTTCGCTTCGCCTGCCGCGACTGTAAGGCTGCAGTGGTGGATGGGGTCCTCCTCCTCCTCCTCCTCCTCCTCCTCCTCCTCCTCCTCCTCCTGGGAACTGGAACCTGGTGGCGTGAGGAGTCGTCGACTTCCGCCCCCCCTCTCCTCCTCCTCCTCCTCCTCCTCCTCCTCCTCCTCCTCCTCCTCCTCCTCCTCCTGCCGACACAGACTGCGCGCTGTCGGCGGAGCCGAACAGGGTGAACACACGCTTGGGCTAACACACGTCCTGAGGATCATCGATCTTCTTTGGGTTTGGAGGGCTCTTTGCCACCTGACATCGCCAAACAGGTGACCTGAGGGAAAAAGAGAAAGAGGCCGAGCAGTGATGTTTACTAGATCTCGACACTCGGTGGGACCATGTCCAACGGAACCCCGGTCAGCTTGGGATGGGGACCGCATGAAGCGATCCAGATCGTTGCTGCCAGTAGGACGAGATGCGAGCAGCACGAGCTGAGGAAACAGGTCAGGGCGTGAACAACTGCTACCGGGCGGGGCCTCACGGCGTCACGCGGACACAGCGGCCGCGCCCCCCACCAAGCCTCAAATACCATTGGAGCGAGAAACTTTGGCACTTCCATCTTGGGGAAGGGATGTGGAGGCGTGGGGGGCGGGAAAAGATGGGGTTTGGGGGGCCGTGGGACTCTAAGCAGTGGTCCAGGGGGATTCTGGAAAGATCCAGAGACCGGTGGTTTAAAGGGGAGGGGTGGGGAGGAGGCGGAGGAGGGAGGGAGAGGACTGAAGAGGGAGGGCGGGGGGGAGCTGAGGGAAGGAGGGAGTGAGGGAGAGGGGAGGGAGGTCTCCAATTACTCTCTGGGCGGGCGCCTCGAAGAACCGATTCCCGAAACAATGCTTGCACTTAGGGGTTTCTACTTGGTCTGCGCAGAACTGGACCTGTGGGTGTCGGTCCGGCCGGCTCGTGGTCGCCGTCGCTGCCCGTCGCCACCGTCCGTCGCCGTTTGATTGCGCCCGGATGTCGGTCGCCACGCCTGTTGTCATTGTCGTCGCACGTCGCCGCCTCGTCGCCGCCCGTCGCCCTGTTGCCCTCCCACCGTTGCATCGCAATCGATTGCTATCAATGGCAACCGATTGCCATCGAATGCCCCACGAGCAGTGGAGTTGGCCAACTTCAGGTTCAGCAGGGTGAAATGCACCGCATAGACTGCAACACATGGCTTGCACCACATAGGTTGTATCACATATATTGCACCATACGGCTCACAGTCCGTAGCACTACACGGATTACACCCTGTAGGTCATACTACATCGATTGCGCCACTCAGCTTGCACCACATATGTTTCTCCTTTCTGGAAAGGAATAGGTTCCACCACCTTCCCGACAGCGAACTTAAAGATTCACCCTGGGGATGTGCTATTTACAAATGAAATACACATGATTATGCCCCATCGTTCATTCTACATCTGAAAGCATATGATGCCAGCCCAGCCGGTATCGATCCCACCCCGTCCTCTGCAAACAGCACAATGCGCGCACACTCGTGAATCAAAAGCCATCCATCTTCAATTATCCCT